CCCTTTCTCTCTCTCTCTCTCTCTCTCTCTCTCTCTCGTTCCCTGTTTCTCTCGCCCTCCCCGTGTCTTTCCTCTGGACCTTGGTTTTGGACCCTCAGCTCCACAGAAACAGCTAGTCGTATAGGTTTTTTTTTGTTTTTTGTTTTCCCTACCGAACTCCATAGGAAAAAAAAACAAAAAAAAAACTTATATGCGCCTTTTGTCTTGCAGCGTCTGGGAGAATAAGAACCGGATCCTGGTGAACATCAGAGGTACAAACGCAATGAAGTGAACGAATGAGCGAATGTCCTTTCATCAGTAGAGATCAGTAGAGATGAAGGTGTGCCCGGTGTGTCCTTTATTTATGCATGTTTCTCTTGTTGCGTATTGACATAGTCTTTGACATATGTTATATAAACATGATTCGTTTAGTTTCATTTTTTTTTTAGATGTAGTTTTTATGGCCCACTGATTTTTTTTTTAATCAAAAACATTGTGTTGAGGTTTGACGCAGCATCCATGCACAACAGAGAGGGTGATATAATTTACGTGTCAGGGTGGGCAACAGAGTGAAAAGGGATTTTTTTTTTAAATAAGCTTTGGCCTCGATGTCCTCACCATGAAATGACGCACACTGTGACGGACAGCCACGGGAGGGGGGAGGGGGGGTCTGTGCCATTTTCTCATCCACGTTTCATAAGATTAGTATTAAAATATTATTTATTATGAGTATTTACTTACAAGTCTTATTAAGGAGAATGTTTTGGTTTTTAATGTCGATTTCCTTTTGGTACGACTCCGAGTGATTTGTTGTTGGTCTGTGATTGAACATTGATGCATTTTTTTTTAACACAGGGGCAATGAAGCTAGTAAGTCAAATCCTCTCTTGTCAAAACATGTACAGGACATACACAGTATTGAAATAAATATTTTTTTTTTTTTTCTGACCTAAATTAAGCTAAATATAAAATATATCAAACTATTACTTTATTTTCCGGACTACAAGTCGCACTTTTTGTTCATCCTTTGGCTGGGTTTGCAACTTATACTCGAGTGGTGCGACTTCAATATTGAAATATATAATTTCAATATTATTAAATATAATATTATTTAATATCATACGTGTTTGTTATTTTCACACGGACAGCCACTGGAGGGCACTCTAGGCTCGTGTCCCAGTATCTGCTACTGCTGTACCACTAAAAACCGGTGCGACTTATACTCCGGAGTGACATATAGTCCAGAAAATACGGTATGTAGGTGAGGTCAGTAACGTATGTAGGGCAAGTAATTAGATTACTTTTAGCATAAATACACATCATCATCTGCGTTGCGTAAACCCGATTATTTCCATGTGAATATGTCGCCAATTTTAATGTTTGCGTTTTTTTCCCATTTATATATTTTTCTTTTGTCCCAGAACATGTCCAACCCACTGGAAAGGATTATGGCAGAGAAGAAGGAGGCAATTGAGGCCGTGATGGACATGTTCGGGAGAGGTGCTGAGGTCTTGGCCAGTGCAGTGGGAGAGCTGTTCCCCTTATGTGAGGTCGCTGCTCCGGTCCTCCGCCTGGTCTTGGACAATGTTCAGAGCAAAGAGGTCTTTTATGTCAAGGAACAATTTCTGACGGTGAAGAACAAACTGGACGTGCTTTCCACGGAGCTCGAGGATATAGACTGCGAGATCAAGAGGGGCAGACTGGACTCTCAGTACTTCTCGGTGGAGGAGAACATTAGGAACCAGTTCAGAAAATACATTGACATAATAGAAGCTAAGCCGCAGTTCAGGGAGGTGAAGATCAGACTGTTTCTGGAGCACTTTGCCAAAACTGGAGGAGAGAAAAATCTGTTTGTGTTGTATGACGCTTTAATGGGCAACAACAGCTTCGGAGAACCTGTCTTAGTATTGGTCGAGAGGTAAGCAGTTGCATCGCTATTCCTAATGAAGCCGTGCAGCCCGAACGCACACTAATCAATATTTGGTTTTTGTAGATACGTGGCGAGGAACCGTCGTCTCTTGGAAGATTTTTGCGTCCGCATGAAAGAGCTGTTCTGCCTGGGCCTGATTGTTTTGCTTGGACATTGCACTTTGACCCAAGGCCAAGAGGAAGAAGACGAGAAAATTCAAGAATGGAGCGGTAAAATGGAGGAAGTGGAGTCCAGCATGAAGATGACCATCGAGTCGTGCGTTGCTGCCTTTCCGGAGCAAGCAAAATTAGATTCTGAACAACTCCTGCAAAAAAAAGGAGAAGAAGACCTGCAGGACACGACCCAGCGGCTTTTGAACTTCTTGGTGAAAAAGTACGATTGGGTCAGCTGGTCCGTACGGCTGATGAAACACTCAGATGGTACCTACCGCAACTGGAGAGCAGGCGAACACTTTCACCACGTTGCAGGTCAGAACTGGTTTGAGGTGCTGGATGTCAACAGTTTAAACCTGGTGGTGTCGTTCAGCACCGAACCACGGCCAGTTTCTCGTGACTGCATCCAACAGGTGATGGAAGCTCAAGGGAAGAAGGGGAACTGTCAGGTGGTGGTGGAGGTGTTGGAGAAGCAGTTCTGCGGGTTTGTTGTTCATGCCGTCAGTCGCCACAAGGAGGCTGCAGCTGCGTGGAGCTTCCCGGAGGATTGTCACTACTGGGAGAGACACAAAAATGTAGCGGTGTGTGTTCACTCGGAGTAAACGTGACCCGCTCATAGCATAGCAGAGGTGGAAAGAGTACTAAAAATATTCTACTCTAATGAATTTGTACTTAAGTGCAGTACAATTATCGGTCGAAAAATATCAACTCAAGTATTAAGCAGGTTTAAAATGTACTTAACTTACAGTATTTTCCGGACTATAAGTCGCACCTTTTTTTCCCTCCTTTGGCCGTGTTAGCGACTTGTACTCCGGAGAGTTAACGATAACAAAACATGTCAGGTTGTGTTTTTGATTTACCTTTGTTTACCTTGTAAGGGATGTGATTTACCAAATATACCAAAGTACAAAGTAAGTTTTTGATTTTAAAAAAAGTACACAAAAACTACTCAATTACAGTGATGCAAGTGAATGTAATTCATTACTTTCCACCTCTCGAGTATATCGTAGAAGTATAAAAAAGTGTAAAATGTATAAAAATGTTATCACTCACGTCAAATAAAATAACATTAAACATAAATAAATAAATATTTAAACGAATGAATGAATGAATGAATAAAAACACTGAAAGAATCTCAATGATGTGGCGCTTTATTTTTAGGTTTTGATCATTTTATTCTCGCATTTTATATCTTGCTTTTTAGCTCTATAAAATAATTTCACTAGAAACGCTTATCGTTTTTATTTGCAACCGTAAAAAAAAAAAAAAGTGTGGGTTTACCCTTTAAGAGTTGGAGGAAGGAGACAGTAGGGACACATTCGACTGGGGTAACAAAGACAAATGGACCGTGGTTCGCAATCAGTAGTGTCACTTTAGGCCACAGGTTCCCAAAGTGTGGGGCGAGCCCCCTAGTGGGGCAGAGTGCCATTGCACGGGAGATGTGGATGCAACGTAACGCAGCATATTCTCCAATGCTGATAATGTTGAACAAGAAATGAATAAAAAATTCAAAATGTAAAATGAATATCTGAGAATATTGCTAAAAAAAATAAAATGAATATCTGAGAATATTGCTAAGGAGGCTGGTATTTTTTAATTGGCTCAGGAACAACAGTTTGGGAACCACTGCTACAAGGTACAGGTTTCGGCTAAAAAAAAAAAAAGCTCAGAGCACCTCAGCGGCAACTGGCGGATTCAAACCTGAAACCTTCTGGAACCAAGTCCACTTCCTTAACCACCAATGTCCATTGAATCAACTGTGTATGAAGGGATAGAGGAAAACACAACAACAAGGACGGCGAAGGTTTTTCAACATAGGTTTGTAGGATGACTACTAAGAAAAACGCAGTAGATACATAGCTCCCCTCACGCTCATGATGTTCCTCTTGGGAAAAACTCGTACATCCCAATTGCATTGTCTTCTTGGTTTTCTATTGAAAAGCTGTGGTGCTGGAGCAGATGGCCTGTAGGACCAGATGGGAGAAAGTGGTGGAAGTCTGGGTAGCCGCAGAAAAGCTATTTACACTGAGCAGGGCCGCCGACAGGGGGTTGTTGAGTCTGCTGTCCCGAGCCCTAGATAGAAGGAGGGCCCAGAATTTGACCCTCATAAATTATGGAAAAGAAGCGATCTGGGTACTGGCTGGATCACCTATGTAAGATTATCTTGACCTGACACTAAGATTTCTTTTTCAATTTTGTCAGTTAACCCTTTGATGCATGACCCATGATATACTGAGTTAAAAACATGTTACTGAGTGTTTTTAGACATAAAAAATAAGAACTGATTTGGTTCCGTTTTTATACACCAAATTTTCTTCTTGAATGTTGACACAATTATTCTGCAGTTGCAAAGGCTGACCACTGTATGGCAGTGTTGGGTGATTCTCAGGCGTCCACTGTAGAGGCTTATATGCACTGCACTGCCATCAAAACCTATTCTTATCATAGAAAATGATATAATTTTAATAGCTGTCCACTGTAGTGACCGTCATGCATGAAAGGGTAAATTGTGATGGTTAAACTGCGTACAGTTCAGGCAAAGGTAGAAGAAATACCAGAAATAGAAATCTATCCACAGATGAACAGCACAATACAAAAATATCAACCTTAGCGAGCAGAATCAAAACCCAACAGGCAGGAGAGGTTTGACCAAAGAGAAGTAGAAGAGTGAAAATTGGGCCGATCCACATTAGAGGAGCAAGTCCTCGTAAAAGGTGAGCAACGGAGGAGGCGCTAAACATAACAACACGGACCCCTTAAACAAAAGGCAGAACTGACCAAACGGGTGGAGCTGGTTAAGTAGAAGAGTGAAAATTGGTCCGATCCACATTAGAGGAGCAAGTCCTCGTAAAAGGTGAGCAACGGAGGAGGCGCTAAACATAACAACACGGACCCCTTAAACAAAAGGCAGAACTGACCAAACGGGTGGAGCTGGTTGTGACAACTGCATTGAAAAACAGTAAATTCATAGGATGCTTTGCTTCCGATGTGTGTTGTGAAAACCCTGGTCTGGCCGTCCAATGACTTATGGGTTGTTATGGTGTTTCTAGATGATGGTGGCCGTTTTTCTTTGACTTCCAATAAAACTGTTTCATTGTTGTTCTGATGACAGTTGTATTTTTATGCTCATATGTGAAATGACGTTATCAGGACAGTCCTTCTAGATGTTGAGCCAGCCCTGGCTTTGTGGAAAAGTAAGACTACGTAAAGTAAGACTACTCCAAACCAAACCAAAAATGAGCTGCGTGAACACAGTCTCTGAAGTCGAGTACCGTATTTTCCAGACTATAAATCCACTCAGGTGTATAAGAAAAAAAAACATATATAAAGCGCTCCAGAGTATAAGTTGCACCAGTGCCCTCTAGTGGCTGTCAGTGTGAAAATAACGAACATGTAAATTTCAGTGGTGTAGCAGAAGTAGCAGATACTGGTACACAAGCCTAGAGTGCCCTCTAGTGGCTGTCAAGGTGAAAATAAAAGATGTAAATTGGCGGTGGTACAGGAGTAGCAGATACTGGTACACATGCCTAGAGTGCCCTCTTGTGGTTGTCAGTGTGAAAATAACAAACATGTGAAATTATATATTTAGATAATGCAAGTAACTTTAGCAGCCAGGTGGTTTAGCATGAAAAATGAAAAGGATGAGTAGGAAAAGAAGGAGGAGGAGGAAGAGGAGGTAAACACGGTTGACAGAGACATGGGCATAAATCCTGTTCATGTCCGAGTGGTTTCCGTCTGCTCTGTTTTAAATCAAGCCTGTCCTGATCCATTCTATTATTCATTTCGCAGCAGTGCAATCCTGCTGGATCAACATGAGGAGAAACACATCTGCCGCCGCAGGAGAAACCAGACGATATGAGAATTCATTTAACGGCTTTATTAGCGTCGTACATACATGACACGAAGCCCCTGTCACCTGACAACAGGTGGGATTCACTGAACCAAGCCAAGCCTGATGGACGGTGCCCTTTAACAGAAGATGCAGAGGATAATACACGTGTGACGTAAATGTCAACTCCGGATGGAGTCTAGTGTTCTCGGAGAGTAATGTCAAGATAAGAAAATAAATCTTGTTAAAAAAGCCGTCAGGCTAAAGGATACAGCACGGGTAACTGTCTTGCTGTGAGGGGGAAACTGCAAACCACTGGTCATTGTGTAGTTTAAGGATTATTATTTAGTGTTAGTATTGTTAATGAAATACCGTAAATCATGTGTTCTCTTATTATCATTGTTAAAACCTCAATGTTTTACATTAGATGATCTGATCTCATAGATTATAAATAGCTAATGTAGCTTAAATGAATGTTATTGGTTGGTGTTGGTTTTTTTTTTGGAAGTATTTTCGATTTTTCTTGTTTGTGTGTTGTACTTCTAGGGACAGGGACACTTCTTTCTTTTAGATAGATAGATAGATAGATAGATAGATAGATAGATAGATAGATAGATAGATAGATAGATAGATAGATAGATAGATAGATAGATAGATAGATAGA